TACATATATTAAAGATTATTATGAAAAAGACAATTATCAAAAAAAGTATGAAAAATACTTACAAATTGATTTCGAATTTCTGGATCTATTAAATCCTTCTCGAACTGTAGAAATTCTTCCGTGGTTGACAGTTGGAATTCTGGTAAACAGGAATCTTTTATAACTATACGGTCTACTGTTTTCGGATTTTCAAGTATATTAATAATTAAATTTAATTTCCTAATTATTATATTCTGGTTTACACAGCATTTATCTATAACAATTAAAAAAGCAATAATAATTTTTTTATTTATTATATATATATATATTAATAATTAAGATAATAAAAAATGTTAAGTTATTTAGTAATTAGTTAAAATACAAACAATAAAATACAACACTTTAACTTACTGCAACATGTATGACGTTCATTATTTTCTATGACGGTTGTTGTATTATTTCGTATATCATCTGTAATTAAAAAACAAGATAGTATATAACAATACATAATACCAACATATATATACGTAAATTAATAAACAGTTAAATGAAAATATTTTTATACCTATTGTAGGTTGTAATTCAAAATCATCTCTTGTTATACTAGACTCTTGCTCGGGAATATTTTCTTTTTGCACATCTAAAATATAATATTTTTTTTATTATCTCTATTTCAATACGTATTTGGTTTTAATATAAAACATGAGTGCTTATAAAAGAAATTATATAATTCCATTAAAAATAACGGAAGTAATCTTGAAAACTTTGTTCAAAAAATTTACTTAAAAACGTGTGTTAATATATCATTCTAAACCAAAATAAAAAAATTTAATTTACATTGTTCCAGTAGAAATAATTAACATGTTCAAAATTAATATTGTTTACTCTATGCAAGTAGCGTTAATTTATGTATAAATACAAACATACGCAGATATCACAGAGAGTTCAAGAAAAATTCAGTCATATGTTATCAGTTCTGAGTTTATTTTCAGATGCAAAAAGAATTCCTTTCCTAAAAATTCTGAATATGAACTCAGAATTTATGACATACGACTGAATATACAAATGAATTCTTTTTGAACTCTATGTGCTATCTAGGTATATGACATGCATATACGTATACGAATGTTTGTACAAAT